CCTGAATATCTTTGCTAATTTTCTGCCTCAATGATCTAATACTGTCAGTGAAGTGCTGAAGTCTCCCACTACTATTGTGTGGAAGAATCTGGGTTCTTCTGTGTTGGCTGCATACATATTTAGGATAGTTAGATCTTCTTGCTGAATTGAACGCTTTACCATTATGTAATGCCCTTCTTTGTCTTTTTTTAACTTTGTTGGTTTGAAATCCTTTTTGTCTGAAATTAGGATTGCAACCCCTGCTTTTTTCTGTTTTATGTTTGCTTGGTAGATTTTCCTCCAACCCTTTATTTTGGGCCTATGGGTGGGTGTCTTTATATATCTTATTTTTATCTATCTGTCCAGCCAGCCATTCATCTATATCATTTCTTACCAATAATGACTTTTAAAAGTGCAACCACATCATTAACATAACCAAAAAATCAATAATAAAATATCATCTAATACCCAGTCCATGTCCAATTTTCCCTATCTCAAAATTGTCTTTTTGTAAACAGTTTGTTCAAATCACAAACCAGATTCAGAAACAAAAGCCATACATTACATTTTATTAATACATCTCTTACATTTCTTTTAATCTATAACACTTACAGGAATTTTTATGTTTTCATTTATCCTTCCAATTATTTTTTTAAAAGTATTTATTGAAGAGAAAATGCTTGCAGAAAAGTAAAAAAAAAAAAAATTTAAGTATAGTACAAAAAGGTACATAGTGACTGTTCCTCAGTCTCCCTTCCCAGAAGCAGTGCTGCCACTTTTGTAGAAATAGTCTCTGCCTAGACACACATGCCAGTCCCCAAGCCTGCTGACAACAAGATGGTTAAGTATGAGAACATGAATTCAAATTCCTATTATGCCACTTACTAAATATAAATCTTGGGGATGGTACCTGGCCTCTGTGCCTCAGTTTTTGAAAATAGTACTTATCTTATAGGGCTGTTGAGAGAATTAAGTCATATAATTGCTTACATTATTATTAATATTTGTTATTATACACATTCTCTTTTGGCTTTTTTCACAAATAGCAGAATGATGCACATCCGTCTTCATTTATTTCATCTCACATCACATTTTGATGAATAATTCCATACATGCTTCATTCTTTGTAATCATTGACTAATATTTCATTGTATGAATATGCTCCTGCTAAACATGTAAGTTATTTTCAACCTATTCTTATTATCAAACAATGCTACAATGAATATGCTTGTAATACTTTATTGGATTCATGTGCAAAAATATTAATAGGATAAAACCCTCAAAGTTAAACTGCTGAGCTAAAGGATGTGTGCATTTTAATGCTTTATAGATATTGCCCAGTTGCCTCAACAGAGGTTATACCAATTTACACTCCCAAGCGTCCCCATTTCCCTATACTCTAGCTAACACAGGATATTGCTAAATGTTTTCATCTTTGTAAACACGACGTGTTGAAAATGGTATCTCACAGTTTTAATGTGCATTTCTCTGATTATGATAAGATAAAGGAAATGTAGTGCAACTAAACCTCAGTAGTCAAATGACCTGGCCATGACTCCTGAGTGAGGACACTGGTAAACACCATTAGGATCCAAACACCTCTGTATTTATGAAGAGGATACTCCCTATTGGATAGCACTAAGCTTATCTCATGTATGTACATGTGTATTTAGTTAGGTACATCCAGCAGTGGTGAAGGGCTTATTCTGAACCAAACAAACTTTCTCTCTTACCCACTTCCAGCATCTGGGTGGGAGTAGCACGTTATGGTCATGAGGCATGCATTTGTACAGATGACCACTTACTCCTCCTTGAAACACTTTTTTTTTCCATTTGCTCCTCTGCTGTCTCACTCATGGGTCTGCTCCTAAGTCACAAATTACTCATTTCCCAGTCTTCTTGGCTGTCTTTCCCCCTCATCTGCGCTTGTATACATGCGGGAGCCCCAGGGCTTCTCTCTCGAACTGCAGCTTCTCCCTGGGTGATGTCTATTCCAATGGGTTTAAAGACTAAGGCTAGGACTAGGGAGAGGTCATTGAGGCACCTAGCACATGAAGTGCAAGGAAACATTCTTTACTGGGCCCATGCATGTGCAGAACTGGCCCTGGAGAATGACTGCTGCCTTGCCTTTTCCGCCCTAGGCACCTTGTTTGCTTCACCCTAGTCCCAGTCCTTTTAAACAGCCCAGTCTTCTCCCTGGACCTCCAGAAACATAAATTCTATTTGACATTTCTACTTGGAAGTTTTAAGATAACTCAAATGTAAAATATCTAAGACAGAACTCTTGCATCACTTCCCATCCTGGTGCCTGAGCCTGTTTCTTCTACTAGTCTATCTCAGTTAACCGCATCACCATTTATTCAGCTGCTCAGGATGAAAATTTTAGAGTAATCCTTGATTTCTTTTTTTTTTTTTTAAACAAGTCCTATCTGCCATCTCCAAAATGTATCCCAAATCTGACAACCTCTCCCACTGTAGGCCAGCCCCCATCTCTCACCTGTGTAAATAACCTCCCTTAGATTTCTGGATATTTGTCCTTCCCCACCCCCTTGTGATCACTACTCAGCATCCAGAATGATCTTTTAATATCATGAAGGAGGCTGTGTCACTCTCCTACTTAAAGCTCTCCAGTGGCTTCCTAATACATTTAGAATAAAAAGCCAAGTCCTCACCATGGTCAATAGGCCAGGTCCAGTGGGTGCAGCAATCTGAATCCAGCACAATCCCACTTCTGCCTCCCCACCATTCACCAGGCTCCACTGCACTGGCTTATTCCTGCCTCAGCTGTGCTCCTTTTCCCTGAAAAGTTCTTCTAGATCTTCATGGGTGATTTCCTTCTCAACATTCAGGTATGAACTCATGCCACTTTCCTGACCACCCCCATCCACTCAGAGATCACCCAAAATCCCATTACCTACTTTATTACTCCATCGTGTGTAACACTATCTGAAACTATCTTATTGTTGATGCGGGATATTTCTTGACCCCTTCACAGACTCGCACAGGAGTGCCCCATGTACTCAGCCTGCCCCCACTCAACCCCTTGCAGGAGGGAGCACACGCATTAACGAGTGCAGGAGCCGGCTAGCTGCTTTAGTGCTGGAGCAAACTCCATGCAGGCCCTGCAGTGGCATCCAGGTGGGGGCGCCTGCAACCCCAGGGCCTCAGAGGGTGTGTCACAATGCTCTCTTAGCTCTGCCACCGGGCGGACAGCAATGCGTTATCAGCTCAGTGAGCCCTTTGCTTCATCACGTGGGCTGGCTGCCCTCTGCCAGTGAGGGCAAAGGGCCAGTGTGACAGTCTTTTTGACTACCCGCACTTTGTGCATCCTGAATCCTCTCTCTAATGTCCAGCCACCATCTCTGAAGTCAAGTCGCCTCTCTCTGATGTACAGCCACTTCTCATGTCTACTGGTTACGTCTGGGGTGTTTATAGGCACAGGATGGGGGTGGGGGTGGAGCGGGTCATAGGTAATTTTGGGAAAGGCAACATTCTATTGGTAAAAAGACATTATTCAAAAAAAACCAATTGGGAAAGAGCAGGCACATAGGGATAGAGTTCTCACTTTGGGCAGTGGGTTTCAGGCTTTTCAGCTCAAAAGTGAGGTTTTGCCAGGGACCTGCCCCTGTCTGCCTAGAATTCCTACGCCTCTGTCACTGTTACCACTGGATAACAGTTCTACAAAGTTCAGGGGCTTAAAACCAAAATTTACTAATTCAGCTGGACAGTTCTTGACAGGGCCTCTCCTAACTGTTGCAGTTACATAGCAGCTGGGTTGGAGTCTTCTTTTCTGGGGTAGACATCCAGGACAGCTTCTTCCCTCTTGTGTCTGGTGCCTCAGTGCCCCTCCAGGCAGGCTTTCTCTCCAGCAGAGTAGCCTGGACTTCTTGGCAACTCAAGCTTCCAAGAGAGAAAAAAAGCAGAGACTGCTGGTTCTCTTATCAAACAGGCCTGGAACTAGCACAGTGTACTTCTGCTGCCATATTCAGGAGGTCAAAGCAGTCCAAGGCTAGTCCAAGTTCAAGGACACTGGTGGAAAAATTCTACCTCTTAAATGGGAAGTGACACGTGTGAAAGGGGGAAAAGCATTGATTGTGTCCATCTTTGGAAATAAGCTATTGTGTGGTCTAGTGGTCTGTCTTCTCCCTTTAGGTTATAAACTCTGTGAGACAACAGGAACCTTGTTCATCTTGTTTCATGGCTCTACTTCCAGCACCTAGAATCCCTGGCACATAGTAGGTGCTCAGTAAATAAATTAAGCACTTATAATATGTTTGGGGAACTAAAATGAACAGAATTAAACTTCTCCAGACTGGTTCTGCCAGATTTGCTGATGCCAAGCATGCTGATGCCCCATCAGACAAGAGAAACCCTAAAATGTACGGTTTCACTTTCTCTACAAACAAGAAAAACTTGCCCTGAACACAAAGTCTAGAAATAGATTTGGCGTGTTTTCGATATGGAAATATTTCTCATAGTACCAGAAATTATTTCCCCATAGCTTTGTGCTACATTAAAATATTGAAGTTGACAAAAATATCTCCATTCTTTAATCTTGGTGTGGACTAGAAACAATTTTTTTGGTAACAAAGTAAATATGAAAACTTCCTGATGTTTGAACTTCCCAGGTATCTCCACACTTAAAATATCATTGCAAGTTAAGATAGATTTTTTAAAAATGACTGCTGAGAAAGGTCATCAAAAGCTTGATCATTAAAATGTATAGGTTTGGGTTATAAAGCCAGCACTTAATTATTTAAATCATTACATATGACCAAGTACAGAAAATAAATTAACTCAAATCTCCTCTTTGCCAATTTTTACGGGTGAACTCTGTAAGATGATCCTATCTTTAAACCTTTTTGTAAACCCCTTATAAGTTAGTAAGTGAGAATGTATTCATCAGAAGGATTTTAGTGATGTTTGAAATTTAAAAAGGAGAGAGATTTAATTTTTAGAATTATACTTGCAGACTACTGCTAATGAAATTTCTTCTGACCCTAGTTTTGTCTTATCTTCAGTCTTTCCAGATTTGCTCAAAGTGATCCCAGTGAGCATCCACGTCAATGTCATTCTCTTCTCTGCCATCTTTATTGTGTTAACCATGGTGGGGGCAGCCTTCTTCATGTACAATGCTTTTGGAAAACCCTTTGAAACTCTGCATGGTCCCCTAGGGTTGTATCTGTTGAGCTTCATTTCAGGTAAGTACAAAATTCTACCTCTGAAGACAAATGTACTTTTCAATATGTCAAAAAGATGGTCGACCTAAATATAAAGTTATAGTCTTAATACATATACATGGATGCACACTGTAGTCTTATATGTGATAACAAAAAGTGTGAAAATACCATAGTTCAACAGTAGGGAATTCAATAGATACTTTATGGAAGTCTATGAAGTATGATGCTGACATTAAATTATATTTTTGAAGGTGTAATCAAGAGGATAAATGCTGTGTCAAAAAGTGGAAAAAGCAGAGGTAAACTTATATAAACATTACAAACCTAATTTGATATTTATAAAATATAGAGGATATATATAAAATACATATATACATATATGCATATAGAGGCTATATATGTATATATGAGATAGATAGAGAGAGAGAGAGAGAGAGAGAGAGAATAGACTACAGTCTATTGGTTGTGGTTGTCTCTGACCATGACACTATGGGTGACTTTTATTTCTGCTCATGCTTATCAGTATTTCTAAGTGTACAATAATGTGGCATTATTTATACATAATAAAAATAAATAAATGCCATCAAAAAAGAGTAAAGGGCCAGTGTTCCACCCACATATGAGCAGCCATATTCAAGCCTGTAGGTACTTTGTGTATGCTAGGTATATCTGGACAAGGATAAACTCTAAAGCCAGAAAATAGTTCATCAATAAACATGTGCTACTCAATAGCCAGGGCTGATGGAAAAGAATGCAAAATCCAATCAGTGCCAAAGGGTGCTTACTTTCGGCAAGTGGGAGAAGGAAAAAGAGAAGAAAATGAAAAATGTGTATATAATTCATATGCAGCTGTTCTATAGGCGATCTCTGATCTTACCCCATTCTACATTTGCAAAAAGATTCAACACTCTGTCAGATTCCTAGGAGGCAAGTGATTTTACTGATGGTTTCATGGAGAGATACAGAAAGATAACAACTCACACCAGCAATCAATGTGATGAAAATCTCTATTTAACTCTTTCTTTTTCTCCTGAAGTTGCCCTTTGGCTGCCAGCCACCAGGTACCAGGCTCAAGGTACTTTCTTGCACTTGACATTGCTCCCTTCTCCCGTACAATTCAACCCCAGCCACAAACATATATAGATTTCTCTATATAAAACAAAGCCCTGTAGTTAGCAGGTCACTCGCATTGCAGCCTCTCTCTGTTCACTGTTACTTGCGCATGCTGCTTAGGGTTTCACCCCATCCACATCCTGTTAATCACATTTTTCACCCAACCAAAGTAGATCTCTCACCAGTGGAGATTCTGCTAATATATTCTTGGTATTTGTCACAAGTATATAATACAGTTTTAAACTGTGCAGATGATTACCCCATAAGGGCAGAGTCTAAGGCTTTCCCATCTTTCTATCTCTGGCAAAAGCATTCAGCATGAAGCTCTGTACGCAGTGGACAATTCAATATGTATTTGCAGATTTGAAATAGCAAGCCCAGAAAAGAGATATTAACTTGGTCACCTAGACAGAAGAGGTTTTAGCAATCAGAATTCAAATGAGATGGAATTGGCAGAACAGGTGCTTTGAAGCAGTAGGACATGAGCCAGTGAGGAGTGAGATGGAATATCATACACGAAGACCAAAGGCTTTGCAACCAGGGCAGAAGAGCAAGAGCACAGGCTCAAGGTGTGGGCAGACAGAATGAGAAAAGGATTCAGTCACATGTGAAGGTCAGGATGAGAAGAAAGAGTTGGATTACTTCTGCTCACCAAACATACAACACCAAACTGGTGGATCCTGGCGGTGTGCTGTTTTAGTGATGACCATCACACATGATTTTAACAGAAGGAATAGAATGTAAAGCAGTGGTTCTCAAGCTGCAGTCTCCAGATGAACAGCATCCTCATCATCTGGAAACTTGATAGAACAGCAAAGTCTCAGGCCCTACCCCAGACCTACTGAATCAGAAACTTGGGGGTCTGGGGGAGGATGGCCATCTGTATTTTAACAAGCCCTTCAGGAGATTCTGAGGCTGGCTCAAGTTTGAGCTACAGGGAATTGATTCAACAGGTGGTGGCAGACTAACTAACAAAAAGGAGGCCCTGAGGTAACTCAGAGATGGTAATGTCAGAAAGCAGCTACCACCCTAGGGCTTGGGCGATCCAACAAAAGAGTTTGGCATTGCCAACCGGGCATGGTGGCTCACACCTGTAATCTCAACACTTTGGCAGGCCAAGGCAGGCGGATCACAAAGTCAGGAGTTCGAGACCAGCCTGACCAACATAGTGAAACCCCATCTCTACTAAAAATACAAAAAAAAAAATAATTAGCCAGGTGTGGTGGTGGGCACCTGTAATCCCAGCTACTCAGGAGGCTGAGGCAGGAGAATTGCTTGAACCCGAGAGGTGGAGGTTGCAGTGAGCCAAGATTGCACCACTGCACTCCAGCCTGGGCCACAGAGCGAGATCCCATCTCAAAAAAAAAAAAAAAAAAAAAAAAAAAAAAAGTTTGGCATTGCCAGAACCTAGAAGCTTGAGGAGAGACCCCAGAGCATTGAGTCTCAGACCTTGAGGACTTGGTGCTGGACGCCTTGAGGGGTTTCTGTGAGCGTGGAAAAGGGTTGGAAACTCCCAGTTGCTGCCACCAGGGAGAACTACAAGTGAAGTGGAAGGCACGGGACCTCCTCCCTTTCCTTTTCTTGCCTTGTCTTCCTTCTCCCCCTGGTGCTCACGTTTGGCAGAAAGCAGCTGACAAGGCAGAACTAGTTTGGGGAGTCTTGACCTGGCATCATAAAGCAGAGAAAAGCAAAGCTGGAGTGAAGGTGAGACGCAACAGCTTATTAGCAGCACAGCCGGCTAGCACTCCAGCTGCTGAATGAAATTCTGAAGCACAGCCCATTTGGAAGACAAATTATTTGACAGTTCTGACAGACGACCAAACTAACAGCATTTGAAAAGCAAGATGACTCAGAGAATATAGAATTTAATCCAAATCCCAGATCTTATCTCTGCCTTTGGCCAGCTCTAATGCAAGGAGAACCTGAGCACACAAATATATGCAGGAATGATCAGGCCCTGTGCTGCATTCTATTCTGTCTCACCCACCTTCGAATTTGTTGTAAAATCATGGACTCGGCTGGGCAAGGCAGCTCACGTCTGTAATCCCAGCACTTTGGGAGGCCGAGGTGGGCAGATCACAAGGTCAACAGATCAAGACCATCTTGCCAAACATAGTGAAACCCCATCTCTACTAAAAACACAAAAATTAGCCAGGTGTGGTAGCACACGCTTGTAGTCCCAGCTACTCAGGAGGCTGAGTCAGGAGAATCGTTTGAACCCAGGAGGTGGAGGTTGCAGTGAGCCAAGATCACGCCATTGTACTCCAGCCTGAGCAACAGAGCAAGACTCTGTCTCAAAAAAAAAAAAAAAAAAAAAAAAAAAAAGCATGGGCTCAGTAAAGGTTTGTAAATCAGGGGGAAGGAAGAGAAGGGGAGAAAGGAAGGGAAGGAGCCTGCTCCAGATCTATGTCTTCCAGAGGATAAAGGCCCAGTGTTTTTAGATCATCCAGTGTTTTTTTTCTTAGCCCCCAATATTTATTTTTAAATATCAAAATGTTCAATAACTCAATAAAAACTGTTATGACAAGAAAACATGTTTGAGGGTCAGATGGACTGACAGTTTGTGACCTCTGGGGATAAACAGGTCACTTTGGAATCACAGACTTCCTCATTCCCCCTAAATCTCATATGGTACCCAGAAGCCCTTGGAACTTTTGAAATGTGTATTCACAGTTGTAATGTTCATGCAGACCCTGGCTCTAAGCCCCAATGGTGTAAGGGTTGGGTTTTGTAGCCCTTATCCCAAACATTCTAAATGTGAGCCAATGTATCACATACTCAGAGGCCAGAGACTGCATTAGGGGTCCTTTATTTCAGGTACGAGTTACATTCCATTAAGAGACCCCAGAGGTCAGCTCTCTTCCACTGACTGGTTCTCCTCCCTTGTTTCTCTTGCCAGTGTGTGCGGCCCCGGTGGCCATGCTCACTATCAACAGAGAAGAAAAATGGTTTCCTCCTTGGACCTCTTTTCTCTTTTTCTTTACCCCATGCACATCCAGGTTCCCTAAGCTTCCCCCTATCCTGGTGCTGAAGTCATTCTACGGTCATTTCTTCAACTGTCTACTTCCCTGCTGGATGGGCACCCAAGACTTGGCATCCTGAGACATATAAAAGGGGGAAAGGAAAGGGAAGCGAAAAGAAGTCCTCCCGACCGTCTATCTGGAACTTTCCGTACTACTCAGAGTACTGCTATGGGCATCTGCTTATGTCTCCCAATGTGCATGCCAGATCCTGGAGGTAGAAAAGGAAAGAAAGAAAGAAAGAAAGCCCGTAGACCAGGCCAGCAATGGCTTCAGTCACACAGTCACTCATACTTATGGCTTCATATTCTGTCGCCTCCCGAACCAGACATCTCTTCCAGTCTCACAGCCTCCAGTTTAGCTCGTTTTCCTCAGCATTCTCCATATAATATTTCTGACCATTATCATTGTTGCATGAAACCCATGCAAGTCAGCCAATTTGCTGTTTCTCATCTTGTCATTTATAAACTGATGCTGAGAAGTCTTTTTCCCAAGGCAGGATTTCAGGAATACCTTCATCATCCCCCATGGTTCATTTTGGGCAGTGATTCTCTTCTTTGACTCTACATTAGAATCATCTGAAGAACTTTCTAAAACTACTGATCTCAGGTCCCACATATTAATTAAATTATAGTCTCTGAGGGTGGGGCTTGGGCACTGCCGTTTTACTCTAACCTCTCTGGAGTCATTTTAATTTGTAGCCAGTGCTGAGGGTTGCGATACAGGTGCACACATTTCATGTATTTGTCCAACACTGACTGAGTGGCCACTATGTGCCAGCCATTATAATAGGCGCTGGTGATCCCACAGTGGATCAGGCACACAGTGCTGTCTTCAGGGAGCTTGCAGTCTAGTGGGAAAGTCAAACAAAAGTGTACATCAACAATT